TAAGTTAAAATTGTATTGTAGTCATGTTCATCACATTTTTAAAAATCCTTCCATTTTGAAAGTCTTTGAAAATCCCATTTGTCCAGCTTTTTGAAGAAAGGGTCATGAAAATATTTTTTTAAGAGAATTTATTTCTTCAGCATTTTGCTACTTTTTTAAGACTTTAATATAATAAGATGTGGAGTAGTACTGTAGGCTTGAAAGAAGAGCTTGGATCTTGCTGTAAGCAGAACACTTCCTATTCATTTAGCAATCTAATAATAAAACTGTAGTTCACTTCATTTCCAGTAGATGGCTTGTTCCAATTATTATTCTGTAAAAACCTCATTGCATCTGGTTCTTTCTATTGTAAAGCAAATAACCAGTGCATTTTAAAGTAGAGTTTAAAACTCTGCTTATTAACTAAAATGAATATTGGTACTTTGAAGCTCAGGATATTTTTTAGATTTTAAAGTACAACAATGTTCAGTTCTTAATTTTGCTGAGTTTCCAGGCAATGTGTTTAATAAAAAAACACAAACACAGCTGAAATCACAAACAAACAATACAATGTGAGTGTCCTAAACATATCTGAAGTTTTGCATTTGATCCATGATCTAATTAACATTTTATAAAATAAGGTTGGACTTAAGATGAAGTTTGGAAATCTGGCACAGAGGAAGTATAGATGTAACTATGTCAGGTTTAACAGTTATTACATACATACTGTATACAATCATAGACCAGAGAGGCAAGAAAGCCACTGTACTTATGGCAGCACAGTGAGGTGGGGAGCCCTGGTCCATTAATAATTGGGCACAGCAAATTAATCCTGGATCCTAGCACTATGAGCATCATGTTCAAAGTGACCAATCTGTTCCCAATACTTTTTTTCTAAATAAAGGTTAGAATTTAGTACACTTTATTCCATGTTAGTATTTTCCTTTCCTTTTGCCTGAACAGGCCAGAACACAATGTGATTCAATATAACTTTTTATTGAGTTGCCAGTCTGTAGTCTCAGATTGTCATGGCAAACGTTCAGAAATCTAGGAACCGCATATTATACACACGCAGCTATTGCAATTGTGCTGTAAAAATGTATTGAAGATTTTACAATATCTTTCAGCAGACACGCTGCAATATAACCAAGTCAAAATTATTCTTTACTGTACTCTCCCTCTGCCTCTGTATCTGTCCCTTCCTCTCACAGTAGAAATCCTTTGTCTCATGCTCTCAATTTGTAGAATCTCTCTTCATCCCTGGGGCTTAAGTTAGGTGTTAGGTTTAGCAATCAAATCTTCAGTGGCCTCATTAATCAAGCGATTAATTAATCTAATAATTAAGCGTACAGCCTTTCCTCTGTTGGTAAAAAGATATTCATTTGAAGTACCTGTTCACTGAGTAAAAGTTCTGAAAAATTATCTGATTTCCTCTGGTGCAGATCAGACTCTTTTGTTTCCTTTTCTTTCGGTTTTATATAAAACAGTTATTCAAGACATACCTGAATGTGTTTGAACTTTAGATGAGATACCTTAGATACAACTCACGGCGTCTTTATATTTGAAAATCTCTTAGCCTGCATCATGTTCACATGGATTATCCGTATTTTCTTGCTCATGGAAGAGTTGAAAGGTTTCTTGTAACTTTTTGCATATTCTACTTCTTTGCCTTGTCGAGAACACAAGTTGCATTGTAGAAAACCACAAGTTAGTTTAGTTGAACATATATTTTAGCCATCTGAAAGGATTTGTTACGTCAAAACGCTGACAAAAGCAGAACCAGATTGTCAAAAAAGAATAAAGTGAGTTCATTTACAATTAAAACACATGTTCCAGCAAAATGCTTTCGGCAGCATTACCAAATGATTTATAACCTGTTCTGTCTGTTTAAAGAATTTGCTTATTTTAAGAGTTTATGTAATATATGGGAGGGCTGCAGTTTGCAAAATCTAGTTTTTTTTTCACTCAGAAAATGAAGATATTTCCTCTAGATGGTCCAATGTGTTTTTGAGAACATAAAATTAACAAACATTCTGTAGATCAAGGCATTAAAATATATTTCTTAGTGAAATTGTCATTTTCCTTTTATTTGACCACAGTGCCATGGCAGTTTCAAATTATTATTATTGTTATTATTATTATATTGAATCTCCAACCTACTTTTTGCATACTTGTAAAGAAAAAAAAAACCTCATAAAGGAACATCTGGTCAAAATTAAAACAGATGGCCAGAAAACAATATTGAAATGTGAATTTTGGGGGGTTATTTTCAGTTTTATGAGTTCATTCACACTTTTTCCGCAAAGCTAATGATCCACAATATACCTGAAATGTGTTTAAAAATTAGAGTGGATGCAGATGTGCAAAAAAAACCTACAAATAAAATATGCATCTTAAAAGAAACTAAAGAAATTCAGTTGATATAGGTGGAATTCTGTTCCTATAACACATTTAAATTAAATAAATTTATCTTAAATAAATGGGCTGCACCCAGCTTTTCTTTCCGGCCTTTTGTGCTGACAATACTGTTTCTCCCTCAATGTCATCTACAGAGAAGTAAAGAAATAAAATGGCACAAGTTGTGTCCATCCATGCGGATCATCTAATTAGTAATGCAACACTATACTGCAGTGCAATAGTCAACACTGCAGCCTTAATCTGAACATGTATTGGAAGCAATAACCCTCCCATTTAAATTACAACTTTAAAAGGGACAGAATTTCCCAATAAAACAAAAATCCTGGATTATCTTTGGTAATTTTGAAAGGTGGCTCCAGTGTTTCTTTCTAAAAACCATTTTTAAACATCTAAAACTTAAAAAAGTTTTAAGGTAACTCTGCAAGGGAGTTACCTACTGTTCCAGAAAATCTGAATGTTTTGCAGTTTGGTAGGAGTCTGGAAAGTTCACAAAGTTAATAAATTCTGAATATTTCCAATGTACATGAAATGAATGTAATATATATATATAAAGCTTGCCATTTCCAATTTAAATAATATTGGCAAGAACAACCTTTTTATGCAATTCTCCATTCGGTTTTCCAAGTGAATGACACTCAAATAATTTTGCAGTTAGAGGGGTTGTTAAAAAGAACAGTCAAAATGATCCTCTTTTCATTCAAGTGAATGAGCTTTATTCAAGTGTAAGAGGTGAAGTATAGGCTGGTCCGCACACTGAAAGAAGAGGAACACTGATGATGGTGGTTTATTCTTTATCTAAAAATATGCCCCGGGACACAAGTGGGGTTGGTGCGCCAACTGTCTCCTTGTCTCCCCTACTTTATAGTCCAGTCACACGTGCACACAGCACATTCTGTACATTGTAATCAGAACTTTCCAGATTTGTTTGCCTGATTGAAGGGCTTGTGGATGGCAAGTTTTCCATTATTTATGTCTTTCCAGTTAATAAAATAAATCACAGTGTACAGCACAGCTCTTTTCCTAGAGAGGTTTAGAGAAAATGTGTGAGACTTGACTAGAGATTCTTCATGTTTCCGAGACTGAGAGCACCCCCACAGCTTTCAATCTTTTTAAAAAAAAATATTCTAAAAAGTAGTCCAAGGTCATCTCAGCTGTATCTTTCTGAAAGCCTTGCCTTGTACTGTATGTAGCTGACAACATTTAAATATAGATCTTGGGTGAAGAAAGAGATAATATATATACTGTATACAGTATGACTGACTGTTGACTGTGATTAACATAAAACATAGCTCTCCTACAGTATGTCATGTTAACCTGTTTAATTGTGATTTCCACACATCCTATAAATCAATGGTGTAAGTCCTTCTCACACCATTTGCTGGATGTTACAGTATCTCTCTTGTGCTTTTGATACAGACAAATTACGTCTCTAGGGAGCCTTTGTGTCCTATTCCAGAAAACCTGAAAAAGAAGGGTGTGTGAGTGCACACAGCCCTTTAATTTAATTGAGCTGTATGGAGTGACCACCTGTTGATCACCTCATTATTACAGTATGATCACGTAAATGGATTTTTGAATTTTAACATAATATTCTTGACTCATTTTCATACAGTGCTTTATTTTATTCAGTGAATAAGCATTGAATTCAATTTTCTAATATATATTTAGTTTAGGAATGTATTTGCATCTCAAGATATTTTGTTCCTTTGAAGTCTACAGTTTTAATTTTTTTTATTGTGCACACATTCAAACTGTCTGCAGAAGCATTTTGTGTACCAGAGACAGACAGATAATTATAAATGTGAAAGTGACTATTTTATAAATCCAGAATTAGCAATTATTTTTGTTATACCCTTCCAGTTTTTAGAACAGCCAGTGTGTTTTTCACATCTTGGCTTGCAGTTGTGTACCCTGCAGCTGCACAAAGGCGAGAATGAGGAAGTGTAGGCAGGCTCTCTGCACCTGTCCACCTTTGTGCCAATCGTCTTTTAACACATCACAGGCACCATGTCCCCAACTGGAGATTCAGAGCTAATTGGAGGAGAAGCTTGTCCTCACCGACAGCATCTCATGCCTGTAAATGCCTAGTTGCCAATATGAGTGGCTGTGGCACTGAGACTAACACAGACTAACCCTTCGCTAGCCCTGGTAGCTCTCAGTCAAGTGTGCGCTGTCACTTGAGGAATCCCAGTCACTTTCGGCTAGTAACATGGCCAAGGCTCAGGCAGTGATATACTGTAGCCTTGATCTTCTAGAGCTCAACCTACTCCTGTGTCAGAACCTTTACTGGTTGAACCCCTCAGAGTACTAAAACTTGTGTGGCAGCAGAGTATTGTTCTGGGAAAAGGGTTAGAACTAAGCATGTCAAAAGCTGGGATAGCATACTTTATGTCTAAAACAACCATCTTAATTGTGGCAGAGTTAATATAATTCAATTCAACTTTATTTGTCATTATACTTACACAGGTGCATAGTATAATGACAAGTGTTTCTCATTAGTCTCTCATGTGTAGTATATACAGTTAATTAGTTAGAAAGGGTTCACTCTGATGTTATTTCCAGTTTTATGTAAATTGTACTCATTGGAACATCTTTTGTCATAGGAGTAATCTGTGCTTCCTCCTGCTGTCATTGGTGACAAATGCATAACGGGTTTGTTCTCTTTTTAATTCTTGAATCAAGCTTTTCAGTGCTTAATGCTCTCGTAAGACTGTTATTATTTCTTAATGGTCTTCTTTGTACCCACTGGAAATTTCAGTCATGTACTGAGCTCTGAAAATTCTAAACTTATGATATTAATTTTACACAATGATCATTATATCTAAGGATCAGAGCACACAGATTTAGTCTTAGATATGGTAGAATTTTAATTTCATTAAAAATGCTATTGTAGTTTAGATATTCATTCCAAGTACTGTTGAGTTTGCTGTGGGGTTTGCAGTAATTTTTCTTTACAGAGTTGACAACTAGATTTTTCAGTGCTTTAATACATCAAAGCCTTTTTTTATTATTTTAGTCTGTGTGTGCTAATATATATGAAGAGACCAAGTAGAAGGAAGGCAAATGCACTGTTCCTATCTGATTTTTTCCTAGGTTGTTGCTGCAAAATTGTACAACAGTTGCGTAAAATGTTTGCTTAATCCTATACCTCTATACATTTTCAATAGTGCATTGCAGAACATACTGTTGAAAATATCCACAGGCCTGTGATCTGATCGAATTTTTTTTCAGCATAATTTTGACAAGTTTCTCTTATTTCATATTTTGCACATATGCGTCTCACTTCAGTATGATTCAAGCTGTATTAAGCAAAGTATTGATTCTTGAATATTTATTTCTGTCAGCTTCAATCAAACCTGGCAAAAGGTAAATCATTAATTATTGTCCAGTTTTTTTGCATGGACCTAAGGTCAGAGAGTATTTAAATTACAGGTAACATCTAGGGGAGTCCTGTTTTCTAGTATTTGCTCAGATTTACAAAAAACATCTTAATGTTTTGTCATAAGTAGATAATAAACATATTATGATGTACTTGACCTTTCACAATAAAAATGTATTTTCTTGATTTCTTTCCAGATTGCCCATTCTACAGGATCCCAAAGAGAGGACCACCAGCCAATAAATTATGAATGTTGAACAAGATGACATCGTACCTGCAGCAGACGATGAGAGGTCCTAGGTGGAACAGGGCCCTGTCCGACCCTTTGTTTGTTCTGCTGTTGGCTCTTCAGCTGCTGGTGGTTGCTGGCTTGGTGAGAGCCCAGACCTGCCCATCCGTGTGCTCCTGCAGCAACCAGTTTAGCAAAGTGATCTGTACAAGAAGAGGCCTGAGGGAAGTGCCCGACGGCATCTCTACCAACACCCGCTATCTCAACCTGCAGGAGAATCAGATCCAGGTCATCAAGGTAGACAGCTTCAAGCATCTCCGCCACCTGGAAATCTTGCAGCTCAGCAAAAACCACATCCGCAATATTGAGATTGGGGCCTTCAATGGCCTGGCCAGCCTCAATACCTTGGAGCTCTTTGACAACCGGTTAACCACCATCCCCAATGGGGCTTTTGAGTACCTCTCCAAGCTGAAGGAGCTCTGGCTGAGGAACAATCCCATCGAGAGTATCCCATCCTATGCCTTCAACCGGGTGCCTTCCCTGAGGAGGCTAGACCTGGGGGAGCTTAAGCGCCTCTCCTATATCTCTGAGGGGGCCTTTGAAGGCCTCAGCAATCTCCGCTATTTAAACTTGGGCATGTGCAACCTCAAGGAGATCCCCAACCTCATCCCCCTACTTAAGCTTGACGAGCTGGAATTGTCAGGGAACCAGCTGTCCGTTATTCGCCCAGGTTCTTTCAAAGGGCTGATCCACTTGCAGAAGCTGTGGATGATGCATGCTCAGATCCAATCCATTGAGCGGAATTCATTTGATGACTTGCAGTCCCTGGTGGAGCTCAACTTGGCTCACAATAATTTGACACTTCTGCCCCATGATCTATTTACTCCCTTGCACCACTTGGAAAGGGTTCACCTGCACCACAACCCTTGGAACTGCAACTGTGACATCCTCTGGCTTAGCTGGTGGCTGAAGGAGATGGTTCCAGCCAACACTAGCTGTTGTGCCCGCTGCCACTCTCCCTCCAGTCTCAAAGGGCGTTACATTGGAGAGCTGGACCAGAATTTCTTCACTTGCTATGCTCCAGTTATCGTGGAGCCCCCTGCGGACTTAAACGTCACAGAGGGCATGGCAGCAGAGCTGAAATGTAGGGCATCCACCTCGTTGACTTCGGTCAGTTGGATCACTCCCAATGGGACCATAATGACTCATGGAGCTTACAAGGTGCGGATCTCTGTCCTCAATGATGGCACGTTAAACTTCACTAACGTTACCGTGCAGGACACTGGTACATATACCTGCATGGTGAGCAACTCAGCGGGAAACACAACAGCTTCAGCAACACTTAACGTGTCAGCCACAGAAAACAGCACCTTTAGCTATTTCACCACAGTCACGGTGGAAACTATTGAGCCTTCACAAGATGAGGGCAGGACCACAGAGCAAAATGTAGGGCCCACAGCCACTAGTGGCTGGGAGGTCCCATTCACAACCACACCGCTGACAAGCACCAAATCTACGGAGAAGACTTTCACCATCCCAGTGACAGAGATGGGGGAAGGCAGCCTGAATGGGCTGGACGAGGTGATGAAGACCACCAAGATTATCATTGGCTGTTTTGTGGCCATCACCTTGATGGCTGCAGTCATGCTCATCATTTTCTACAAAATGCGCAAGCAGCACCATCGGCAGAACCATCATGCCCCAACCAGGACAATTGAGATCATCAATGTGGACGAAGAGATCACAGGGGGACCTGGCCTGGACAGCCACTTGACCTTGCCAGCCCTGGAGCACGAGCATCTCAACCACTATAACTCCTTTAAGACTCCTTTTAACCACAACTCCTTACAGAGCTCTGCGCATGAACCTTTGCTAATTCGGGCAAACTCGAAAGACAACGTACAAGAGACTCAAATCTAACTTCTTTCATAATAAAACAAAGAAAAAAAATAATAAAAATAAAACATTAAAATAAAAACAGTTGGACATGCAGTGGGTGATAAAATTTATCAGTGACATCAAGAACTAGGGTATGTCTACTGTTTCAAAAAGTGTCTTTACAAAACAAAGTTTATTTATTAAAAATCTATTGTGATTAAATCAAGAAAATGATCATGTATTCTGCAAAAACCCATCGTTATGTTGTTGCACTTAATTCATTCTTGTTTTTTGTTTTTGTTTTTTCCCATGGGGAAGGAATGGTTTACTAAGATTGCAGACTCCTGTTTTAATCAATCTGCTTTTAGGAGCACATCTTAGTTTGATGCACTCCTAAAAAATAAAGGACAATTCAATGCAATTTTGAAGACTGTGTTTTCAGCGGATACTAATCTGACATTAAAAGGCAATAAAATTACCTTTCCCCTTAAAAAAGAAAAGGAATTGCTAAACTTTTGTTTATTGATAAAAACAAAATATTGACAGTGACAATATATATTGTCTTAATTGTACATGGTAGATGGTCTAATTTTTATATCCATTTGCAAAGAATATGAATACTGCTGATAAAATTGAGGCTTTAAGTGATATAACGATCTTACTATTTCAACAGCAGAAGAAATTTTCCCAAAATAGTTTGGTGAATAAGCCTAATAAGATGAATTATGAAATGGAACTGAAAAATACATGGAATTAAACAAAATGGACCTTTGCATTGAAATAAAACCTACATTTATACTGGTGATTTCATTTTTGGTCATTAAAATGTAACATTCTATTTTATCTTTATCTAAGTTTCAAGGGCTGATTTAGATCAGAGGAGAATGTCCAATCCATGTCATCCTGCCTCACCAAGGCTTAATGCCAGACTGCTAAAGGTGCATTTATTTAAAAATTGAAACTGCATTTTATTTTTATTAGACATCCAACAGATTTGAAATAGCCCTGTGTCTTTGCATACATATACTCATATGACTACATGAGCAAACTAAGAACGATTAGGCAGAGTTCTCTAACCTGACCATCCATCAAGCCATTCATCTTTTGGCACATTACAAGTTCTGCTATTTTAGATGAGAAGTTTAGCACTGTCTGAAGGAGTGGTGCGTCACTGACATCACTGCAAGTCTCCAGGTACTCATGAAGTTGCAGGGCCCCTGATTCATAGGATCTCAAAGAACCAGCTTACTTATTCCAGCCCCTCGCCTGGAAGTTATAAGCTGTTTGCCAGTGTTTGGGAATCCCAGTCACAGTCATCTAGTGACACGACTCTAACTCTAGTTCTGACTCATGACACCACAGCTATGGAGCTCAACCTGTATTCGGAAGTAGAAAGTGTACTGCTAAACCACTTGGTGACACAAAGCTACATTTTTAACCTTGCAGAGTTTCATGTAATCTCTCTCTCTCCTCACAGAAGGCAATGCTGGTGTAGATGCTTAGTTCATTTGCTCACTTGCATTCACCCCTGTGTTAATATTCACCAGATAACTCTTCTAAGTGTGATGAGCAATGCCATCTGCAATGTCACCATCTGCAAAGATGTGAAATTGAAGTTTAATTTTCCTGATAAGACCTTAACTAGGTAACTTTTACAACATCACATTCACCAGAGCACTGTGGGAGATTTCTTCTCTTATCTTTTATTTTTTATACTTGCTATGATGAACCTTAGCACTTTCATGTTTTTTTTTCTATGCTTTGTGAAACCAAATGCAAATTAAGTAGTGTATCTGTCCTTTAAGGAGACAGGCCAGTTCCTCTTCACAGATGGGTGCCCAAGCATTGCACTTTATACAGCATGTATTCTACCTGTACAATTCAGCAGTGACATCCAGAGGGTATTAGAGAGTATACCTGCCCTGTGTGCTGCAGGTCTTGGGTTTCCTTGTGTTTCTGTTGTGAACTGTTTCAGAGGGAAATGCAATAAATGTAACCATACACACAATACTTTTTAGAGAAACTGCTTAATATAACCTTTCTCTGGAATTGGTGTTTTTGACTCCCCAAGCAAACCAGCTGCAAAGTGGCACAAGCACTGTATTTTCCAAAGGTCATGATTGTGTCATGTGGTTATTTCAATTATCATGCAGTAGTTGAATGAAAGCAACACCTTTAAAGTTTTTTGGCTAGTCATCGGATAAGTCCTGCTTGAAAAACAAGCTTACTTGAATCATTATATTTAACTAGATAAGCCATCTGAGAATGACATCATACAGTATGTGGAATAACAACTTAGAGTACAAGAGTACCTATTTCTGCAGCAGGGCATTTACTGGAGCAAACTGAGTGAAGTACCTTGCTCAAGGGTACAACAACAGTGTTCCACCTGGGATTTGAACCCACAACCCTCTAGTCTGGAGTCCGAAGCCCCTAACCACTGTTCCTCACTGCTGCCATAAATCATCCTGAAAACCAATGACCTTCAGCATTGACAGCACGGAGCAAAAACTGCTCCCATTATTTCTCCCTAATTGAATTTTCTTACTTTTGAAGTTTAAACTGAGCTTGAGTTCATTAACAGCAGAAATGGTGTGTGGTATTAGGCAGAATTCATAATGCTGGGAACCACCCAATCCCTACAGAAGATTGTTTTTAACATATGCTCTACATGTTGTTTACCTGAAATATTGATCAGGAAACCTTTCACAAATGTTCAGCTATGTAAATCTAGAATGATTCATAGTATGATTCTAACTTTTTCATGCAGACTTCATTAATTCTATTACAATTATCTTTACTAAAAGTCTACCTTTAAGTATCAAGAAAAACAATTTTCACAAGGCAGCACATTCAGTGCTATTTTTATTTCGTTTTATTGAATAGTGAAATTAGAATATGAAATTTAGTCATGATAAATGAAGGCAAGGTGGCATGTCATTAGCACTACTGTCTCTGGGTCTTGAGTTCGACACCAGCCTGGGCCATTGGTGTTACCTCCTTTGGGATTTTTCTGGGTGATTTGGTTCTCTTCCACACAGGATATAGTATGTTGTTTATTTTATTTAAGGTTTTTAAATTGGTCATGTTTGCTTATATGCGTGTGACATATAATGAACTGATATTTTGTCTAGGGTGCTGTCCTGCCTTGTGCAATATGCTTACCAGATAATCTTTGGGTTGCTATAACCCTTATCAGAAATAAGTATTTTTCAGATAATGAATAGATTAATAGATGAAAGCACGCAATTTATGGTACCACTTTTTAAATTATAGATAAACACCCTTAATACTTAGTGAAGGGTCCAGGAACAGTACCTGATCTACAGTTGCTTCTTTTGGGTTCTGAAGATTCTGCTAGCATTAATTTAATCAGTTGTTAATTGCCCTAAGGATGTTACTGATTCATCTCTTTGTCCTTTTCACACAACATCTAAGGTGTTGGTGTACTGAGAGGGGGGGTAACCGCTACAAATTACATGCTTATAAATTACTTAAACTTTGATTACCCATAGCTAGGATCAACCACCACACATTACTTAACCCATAAGTGCAAAAAAATACTGTTGCTCATAGTTATTCTAGAGAGATGCACAGAGTACATAATTCAGCTGTAGAATAATAAAAGGTACTTATTATAACACATGTACAGTATATCTGCTTTTGGCAATGGGCATTCCTTTTTCATGTTGATTTGGCTTGGCCAGGTTCATATTGGTTTATAATTTCATTTTGAATTACTGCTGTGTGGATTTATGGTGTTTTATTTTCACCTTAGTGATTTTATCAAGAAAGAGCATTTGTTAACACTTCATACAAGCTGTTATCATCTCATACCATCACACAGATAATCTTTGTGTTAGTCACTCAATCTATGGCTGTGAAAAGCACACAAAGAGTGCTACAGTATGTAACATAGTTGCATAACCACAATAGAACATTGGCTTATCCTACCTCCAACAATGTCCTTTGGAACCACTTTTATACTTGACAAAATGGAGTGAGATTTCTGCAGAACAAATGCATAGCTCCCTGCTCAATTTAAACTAGGAATGCATGATGTGTTTTAGGAAATGATATGTGGAACGGGACCATTTTTGTCATTTAATTCCAGAAAAAGAAAAAAAAAGTTTCAGTTCACCACTTCAAACATGAAATTAATTTATGTGACTTGATGTTAACGATACTTCACCTCCATGCATTAATAGCTGAATTAAAGAAAATAAACACTCAAGGCAGTGATCACACCAAGTAGAAACTAGAGCGAGACAAAAAGAAGAATGTGTTTAAAAAGACAAGACTGTTCGCTTAAATTCCTCAAAGGCTAAAACCTTAATTTTCACCAATAGTTTATATTGTAATATACTTTAATGTGTGCAATGGATACATTTTAAAAAAAGTATATGAATATTGCATTTTATATAAATGTTAAATGTGATATGTTTTTTACAACCTATGTGGAAGAATTATTTTTATTGCATATCGTATTAAAAAAGCCTGCTGCCTCCATATACTGATTGTTGTTTCTTTTCTTATTATTCTTATTGAATAATCTTTTTTGGGGGGATTACAGTACCCTTCAACTGTTTCAATGGCAAGTTGGGACTTAGACGCTTTATTAGTTATCCATTTGCATGTACAGTACTTTGGTTAGACCTCCATCCTTGAATGAGAGTCCCATCGACACCAGCAAAGTACACAAAACTGAGCTCAGGTTCATTTTCATCACAAGAGGAGCCTCTATGAGGTCTGCTGTCTTGACTGAAGGGTGATTTCTTTTTCTTTTCCTGGTCCTTTAAAGCAAAGGTTACATGGAGTTTGCCTCTCTTGTAAGCCATTACTTCCTATTTTCATGTTTGTATTTCATTTCATGTTGTTGGGGAGGGAGGGGGTTGTCAAAAATCCTCCACATTTTGGAGGAACAGGTCTACCATGTCTTTTTATGTTATAGTTCAACTTTTGGGATTTTTATGGTGAATTCTAGTGCTGAAATATTGCTCTATTTTGTCTCCTTATGTAAAACAAAATTAACCTCGGGTGTGGGGTGGGTAAAGAATGTTTTAATTTCTTTCTGACAGGGAATGCTGTACTAGCAGTAGATTTATATAAAACATTTTGAAAAAAAATATGAAAAACATTTTTTTTGTTTTTAATTTTACATGTGCCAACCTGTTCTAAAAACATGCTGTGAAAGAATAAGAAATTGATTTTCATGTAAACATACAAACATGACATTAAAAAATATATAGATACCAGAGTTTGTAGTTCATACACAAAAATAAGGTTATAAATAAAATATTGTTGTTTTTTTCTGTATTCCTCAGAAGGTGGTGTTTATTTGATTTATCCAGTCTGGGCGAATGGCTGACAGTGTGAACAAGAAAACTGATGTTCATGTATGCATGAGATATGCTTAGAAGTGTGGGAATGTGAATGTGACTCATCCTGCACTAATACACTTAGTCTAGTGGTCATTCCAGTTCTGGATGTATGCCCAATAGTTTTACTAGTAATGTATTTTAACTGATAAATTGAATAGCAGAGGAAGTATCCCTGAAATTTCCTTCCCAAGAGGGCATCTTGAAGTTAACCGTTGAGAGCCACTGGAGTGAGTAAGGTGAGTGCGCATGAGCAGCAATGCTGTATTTTAACATACTGTAAACCCTCTCAGAAGCAATACATTCTGTCAGAAGTCACAAACATTGCTAAAAGGCATATTTCTCAAATTACCAACAATAATTTTGTGACAGTTGAATGCATTAGGTATTTAGACTCATTAACTTGGTGTTTGGTGGAAGCAGTTCTGGCAGAAGTCTTTTGGGGTACTGTATGTCTCTACCAACTTTGCACACTGGTTGGTGCACTTTTTACTCATTCTTCTTGGCAGTGCTCAAGCTCTATCAAATTGCTTGAGGACTGCTTATGGACATTGGTTTTCAAGTCTCTCCACAGATTCTAAATACTGTAGGATTAAAGTTTGGACTTTGACTGGGCCACTGAAGGAAATTCACTTGAAACGAAGAATGGCATTGGGCACTATGGTGGATTTGTGTCAGATTTAAATGCTTATATTGAGATCAAAAAGGTCCAATTTTATGTAGTCTACCCCTTGTGCCCCAATTTCGTAGTATAATTTAGGTGCTTTGTCGCAAACTCCATATAGGATTTGAGATGTTGTTTTTCCAATTCCATACAAGGCCCTTTTGTGGAGTGATTGGGATATTGTTGACCCATGAGCATTTTCTCTTATTTCATTCAATGAACCTGTAACTCTTTAAAAGTCACCATATGCCTTTCAATCGCATCCCTAGCCAGTATCCACACTTGCTCAGCTTGTAGGGACAGCCTGTTCTAGGCAGTGTCTGGGTGCCTTCCACTTAATGATCAGCTTTATTAAGCTCATACTGTATGTCAAAGAGAAATGTTTTAATATCCCCCTTTCTCCTGATCCGTGCTTATATACAACTTTATATGCAAATAGTTTTGAAAGCTCTTTGGTGTTCATGATGGATTTTTTGTTTCAAATTCATTATCTGTCAGAGCAAACTCACAGAGATAAATATATTTATTCTGAAATAATGTAAACCACTTTTATTGCATACAAATGCCCCTCACTAATTGTCTGGCTCTTTAAGGTAATTGTACTCACCTCAATTGGTTTCAAATCCACAATATGCACTTGAATACTTATGCAATCATGCCTTTTCTGTTTTTCTTTCTTATTGTCTAATTATTTTTGGGAATATTTTGTTGTATACTAAAATTAAACAAAAAAGACTTTAATTGCGACTTCAAATTGTCATTACTCTGTACATATAAATATTTTGAATGTCAGTGTAAGGAGCCTCAAATCTATCTAAACTGCAGATTTGAAATTTGAAATTGTCCTCCAAGCCGTCCGTCCTGCCAATGAGCTGGTCGAGATCCCAAGATATGATTTTCTAATACTCCACTCCCAGATTTCTTGTGAAGTCAACAGGAAAGAAAACATGTGAACTGTAGCTGATGCACAGGGGCAGTATTACTGCACGTCAGTGAGCTTGTGGGCTGACATAACCAGTTGTTAAATGCAGGTTATATCCTTAAGGAGCCTGGAGTGTAAAAGAGATGGGTTTTAATATACAGTATAAAACTAACATTGCATAACTCAATTTAACTGAACCTGTACAGAAGCTGAAGATAAGCAACCCCTCTCTTTATGGCAAAGATGAATTTTAGTGGTGGATAATTGGGTAGTATGGGACAACTTCTTCCTGCATGTAAAATAAATGTAAAATAAAAGTCCTTATTAAGGTCTGACAGACTAATAATAATAATCCAACAACCCAATCTCCCAGTGAATACAACCCCAACAATCAGACATGATGGTGGTAGCATTACATTATGGGGCTGCTTCGAATCAGCAAATTATGAGGAAAATGTATTGAGAAAATTACAAGTCTGGAGGAAAACATTTCAGTTATCTAAATTCTTAAAACAGGTAAAAAATGGCATGACAATAACCTAAAACATAAGGCCGCAGCTACTGTACACTGATGTTGCTTAAGAATAAGAAAGTGAAGAGACTTGAGTGGCCCAGTCAAAGTCCGGACTTGAATCTGTGGAAGGACCTAAAAACTGCTAAATGCCTAAGAACTCGAGAGATTGAGTAAATATGACTAGAACAATGGCCAAAATTGTACCAAGTCTGAAAAGTTGATAATGAATTACTTCAAAAGACTCCCAGCTGTAACTGTTGCCAATGGTGCTTCCACCAAATATGCTTAAATGTTTATGCAATCAACTTATTTAATTTTTGTCCTTTTTAACTGTAACTGAACCTACCCATAGAATTCTCAAGTATGAACATTCAGAGTTTGAATAAAATACTGTATTTTAAAAATGTGTAGGCATCATTTTGTAAATTCATTAAAAGGTAAACAAGACATTAGATAAGATCAAGAAATAAAGAAGACAATTAGAGTTTCAGGTGAGTTGCTTTACCTTTAGCTTCTCTGTGATTAAACACTAGGTAATTTCTTAGCAAGCCCTTGATTCAGAAACTATTCTCCTCTCAAATGCTAGGAGTTACAGACTTAGAAAAAAAGGGGATACAAACGAGAAAGGAATAAAATAGTCAGTCTTACACAATTTGTTGTTAATAGCTTGCTGATATAATAATCTCATCTGAAAACAGTCTTGAAAAGGTATCCTCAAGAACAAAGTGTAGAGTAAAAATCCCCTGGAGACCTTTTTGTTGAGCAGAAGAGGAGTTTACTGTATATTTGGCCAAAGGGAAGCCCCCTCCCTGCATTTAGGAGGATGGTTCTAACAAGAAGAGTTACAGCTGTCCTTTTATACACTTACTTGATAAGGAAGACAAAGAGCTTAAGTTTAAAAAAGAAAAAAAACTTAAATCTGATTTAATTTCTGTTGGTTAAGCAAACTTCGACCTCAATCAGATGTCAACATAATTGAGTTATATCAGTGTTTTCTAAAAGCAGGTAGTTAAAATTGGCCTTCTACGCAAAAACAATTCTTTGGGATTCTTAAAACAAGCCTTCTTTGTGTCTGCAGTCCCCTGTTATTATCAACAGCAGATACATTTAATGTTGCAGCTGGTGTTTTGCTGCACATGGTGTACAGAGAAAGAATTTTAACCCTTAAATAGCCCATCAGTGGATTTCAGGCATTTAAAACTCTGACTCTAACGTTTCTCCTGTTTTATCTGCACTTTTACCTGCCCCATGTGGCTTAAGGTCCCTCTGTACGGGTGAACTTTAAAAGCCTTTGAGGACTGCGAACTATAAATCATTTAAATTTAATAGTTGTTCAAGACCTGTTTAAATATGAAAAACATTTGTTAAGGTTTTCAAGCACTGTGTCCTGGGTTCAATTCCTCCAGTGCTGTCTACATGGAGTTTGTTCCAGGTGCCCTAGCTTCCTCCCACAGTCTAGGGATATGCTTCTTGGTAATTTGGCTTCTGGAAGAACTGGCCCTGGAGTAAGTGTGTGCTCTATGATGGACTGGTGTCCCATCCAGAGTGTATCTTGCCTTGTGTCTCATGCTTGCCAGCTCCTGTGCAACCCTGTACTGGATAGAGCAGTTGGAAAATGAAATGGATAGATGAATCATCTAACATGAAAAAAAAATATTTCTATTAAGTGAGTCACCACAGGGTGTAGAATTGGCATTAAGTCAAATGTAGGGGTGTGGGAGTCAGACATTTGGCCCGATTAAAGCCACTATTAGCATTTTGATTTAATGTGCTGTAAAAAGTGAGATGGAAAATAATATGATCACTAGCATGCAGAGGAGCTCCTCTCCTGTTTTTTGAATGACTTACTTTTGATACCTGTATTAACACTCAGAGCCTCCATTTCTCTTTTCTTAAGCACAATTATAATGAACATAATGACCCTGATTGTTTTAATTAAAATCTATTTAATGAACAATAAATTACAGCACAGCAAAGGCATTTATTTGGGTAGAAAATATTAAAAGAGTTCATTCTGATCCAAATTATGTTATATACACTAAATACAACTTTAACAAAAAGTAATTGACATTAAGTGGTTGTTTACAGAGAAGACATAGTACGTGCCTTGTAAATTTCTTTCCAAATTTCTAAGTTACTGCACTATCATGGAATTGTGATGTACAGTACCATCCACAACATTGGGGCACCAAAGTCAAAACTAGTTCTTGCTTTACAGTCAAGCAATCTAGATATTTAATCATGAGATTCATATCAATGGTGAGTATATTATACATTTTATTTTTGATAATTTAATGCATAACTAAGCCAAGTGAATTTACCATATTGACCATATGTATTGGGACATATCAATTATAAGTATTTTGTTTTAGTTTTTAAAGGTATTGAATTTGCTATTAAAGGTTCCTTCCAGCAATATGCTTTATGCAGCTCGGAAGCTTTTCTGCATTTCCCAGTCCAATATTCAGCAAACACACAAAAAAGCAAAAACATGTTTCTTAGCATTCAAATTAGGAGCCAGCTCTTCCACAGTGCTGCTTTCCTAATTTCAGAGTCAGCCTTCTACTGCTGAAACTCTTCCCCTTTTTTTGACACTATTGACTATTAAAGGGATAATGCATAAAAGCAATTTCATACATAACCAAAGCATATGTATACACAATTTTGTTTTATGGAGATGCTGTAGAATAGAGGGCTCACAATTGTATGAATACAATGTGGAGACCAGCTCTCCTCCTGACCTCTAGAAGACACTTCAGTGTCATGTCCTCAAGGAATAGGTTGGCTGTCTTAAAGAGACATCCTCAACC